ACTTCAAAATCTTAGCAATTCAGCCAAATTAGTCCATCTATTTGTGAGAATCTGGGTGTGGGAAAAAGCAGGGAGGTCAATTGGGTAAAAAATGTGAGAACAAAGATCGTGAATGCAGTGGCAGAAAAGCTGACAATCTGCAGAGCTTGAAAGAAGCCACATAACTGGGACATGATGCTGTGCATCAGAAATGGACACACTGTAACTGACTAGACCTCAATAATAATAATTTAAAAAAGCCAGTGCACCCAAGGCTCATAGCAGCACTATTTATAGTAGCCAAGACATGGAAACAACCTAAATGCCCATAGACAGATGACTGGGTAAATAAGTAATGGTATATTTATACAGTGGAATACTACTAAGCCATAAAAAGAAGAAAGTAACACCACTTGTAGCAACATGGATGGACCTAGAGGTTATCAAACTAAGTAAGTCAGAAAGAGAAAGAACATTACCATGTATCACTTATTTGTGGAATCTTAAAAAAAAGATACAAATGAACTTATTTACAAAACAGACTCACTCAGACAGGAAACAAACTTATGGTTACTGAGGAGGGGAAAGAGAGTGAAAGGGATAAATTGGGGTTGAGATTTGCAGATACTAACTACTATATATAAAATAGAGAATAAGTTTCTTCTGTATAGCACAGGGAACTATATTCAATATCTTGTAGTAACCTATAATGAAGAATATGAAAGCAAACGTATGACTGGGACATGATGCTGTGCACCAGAAATGGACACAATACTGTAAATTGACTATACTTCAATAGAAAAAAAAAAAAAAGGTAGTCCGTGCAGGTGTCTCAGGCAGTGGTTTTTGCGCTCTGCAGCTGGTCCTGCACAGATCGCTCTGGGATACCTCCAGCTCTCGAGAATTGAGGGCACCTGACCCTGGTTCTGGGCGGGATTCTCTAAGCCTCCTCCATGGAGGCCCCCAAAATACTAAAATAAAGTTGCATTGAAACCCTGCATATTTTCATTATAATTACCAAGAGACAGGGAATTACCAATGCGAATGTAGGGAGACAGCTGAAAAATTATAACTAGAATTAGCAACTGATTCCACAAACAGTCTCGCGGGTGTGACACTCAGCTGTGCAGGAATTCGCTGCGATAGTTTGCATGAACTGAATCAGAGGTTCTGTAGTTTTTGAGTTGCATTCCCCCTGCATGAAAGCCTCATTCCTTCTTTTTTCTTCTCTGGGAAATTCTCTTTTTCTCGAGTCCTTTATTTTACCTGTCCCTGGCCTCCTGCAAGACAGGCCACAGTCCCCCATGAAACTCCAATGATGATTGAATCTCCCAAACAGAAAGGGTTGGTACCAGTCTTTCATTTTTAGAGTCAGAAAAAAGGTCAAGGAAACTTGCTGAATTTGTGTTTGGTGAATTATTCTCAATGCCATAACATGAACGTAGGACTTTAAGTGAAATCTAAGTAGTTTAAAAAATGAATTAGGAAAATACCTTTAAAAAAGTAGAAAATACTGTGTGTTTATTAATAATTATTCTTTCTTTCTTGTTAAAAAACAATTTTATAGGGTATTATTTTTAATGATTGTTTTTACTTTATAAAATAGACACTATCTAACATAAGCAATATGACAAAATATCATTACTTTAGCAGAAATTATTTGATTTAATTCAGAACTGCTTGATTTTTTTGAATGGATAGATGGGGTTTTGAAAAAAGTAAGAATCTGGTCCTCAACACAAAATTCAATGTTAGTACACAAAGCTCCAGTTACTTATGGGGCTTTAATAATAAAGTTCCCTATGTGTGGAAACATTGTAAAGGATTTTAGCATATAGTTTCACACAGTGCTCTAGTTAATTAGACTTAAAAAAAAGACACTGTTTTTGGTATTGTGTTTGCATGAAATTTTCCCATTTACCATCTAATCTACCTGTTTTAAAATGCACAAAGTATCATTAAATTAATAAACCCAAATATCTACAATACTTACAAGCTTAATGTGAACCATTTCCAATGATTCTGCAGGCTAAAATTAAATTTACCTCACACAGTTCACCCCGCATTATGTAATTTTGAGACAAAAAGCATGAAACTATGATACGATGTATTTGAATGAGTGTGCCTGTCAAAATAGGTTTTTCACTAAGTTATGTGTACTCTTTTTCCACGTAAAATACAATGATGAGATTACTAAAAGATAAAAAATGTCTTCTTATGCTGATCTAATTGGCATTAATGGACATAGATAACTTACTAATATTTTGTGTTTTAGGTGGAGAGGGATCCAATCATAATTTTTTCTATTAATCTGTCAAGTTGATTTACTCTGGGTTAAATTATATAGCCCGAAATACAAAACTTTAATGAAGAATCAGAATTGGACTGGATTGAAATATACCTGCCCCAGCTCTGCCACTAACCTGTGTGACATTCGAAAAGTCAGTTAACCACCCTGAGCCTCCTGTCCCTCATCCATAAAAACATTATTCTGTAATATTCAGGTTTATCTTTTCCAGTAACGTGTAATATATTAAAAATAAAACCTCATAAGAAGATAGAACAAAGGACTTCTATGAAAACTGAATAGGTAAGGCATTATTCCAGAGAGAGAGAGAGAACTCTAAATCCAAGGACCAATGCACCTGCTGGCTGATGCCTGGAATTCTTTAGAGAGTTAAACTTTTCATTACACCATACACAGGGGGGAAAAACAGCTACCCGAGCCCACTGACCCCCTCATCCAGAGACTAACAATAAATTGAGTTCTTCAGAAGAGGCCTGGAGAGAAGCAGAGCTCTGTTGGTTTAATTGGACTGAAAGGCTGTTTACACACACACACACACACTCACACACTCACTCACTCACTCCACTAAGATCACCAGAATCTTATGACTCTTTCTTAAATAGAATTTATGACCAGCTTATTTTCATTTCCCATAAATACTTATTTGATTTCTCTCTCCTCCCCAATACACTGTAAGTTTCACGCTTACCCTGCATTGGATGCCTGAGCATGGAAGAGCGCAGGGACCACACATAATGGGGTTCTTTATAAATATTGTTTAAATAAAAAAAGCAAAGGAGAGAAAGAATAAGTTTTGGGATATTTAAGTGCCTTGAAGAAAAGGCATCTTAGTGGGTTTGAGGGTGGGGGGGGGCGTTGAAAATAAATGGCTGAGATTCCCAAAGACCTTGACAATTTCATCAAAATCTAGCCTCCAATATTTAACGTTTGTTAGCATAGTCTTTGTTATTTAATTTTTTTTTTTTCCCTGCTAGAATATCTGTTCCATAAGGGAAGGAACCTCTTCTAGGTTCAGTTTTCTCTTTAAGTACCTGAAACGGTGCCTGGCACAGAACAGACACCTGATAAAATATCTGTTGAATGAATGCATGAATGGATAAATGATTCTGGCTTGAGTTTTCCAATGAGTTTACCACCTTAAAAGAAATCTGTCATCTTTAGTGTTAACAGAAGGAAAGACAGGTTAAGGAATACCTACTTTTCATTGCTGTTATTACACTTCCAAGCTACAGGCTACAGAGGTTTTCTTGATTCTATTGGAAATACTCCAGAAGTTAATTAATTACACAGTAATTATAATTTGAAGCTCTCGTACCTTTCTTTGGAGGATTCTTAAGTACTATGAGATCAATAATTTAAAACACACTTTCTTCTTGTAAATAATCTTCTTAATTTTCAAATGCACAGTATTTTTATGGAAATTAAACCACATGTTTCTGATTCACTTACACTTGTGGTGGTCCATTACAATTTTAGTTAGACATGTGATAATTAAAAGCTTACTTTAAGACAAACGTGGGCTTCTTCTGAGCAACCAATAAAGGAGTTTTCTGATGAAAGCGACACATAGACCATCCAGCCACTTCCAGGTAGGTCCAAAAGCACAATTTTTGAGCAAGTTTAAATTTTTGAGCAAGTTTAATAATTCAAAATGAAAACGTATATGCTGTCTAATGGATACTCACTGGAGTTTATCTAACTTAATAACCTCCAGAAGCAAAGCTACACCTTAAAAGTGGGGTGAGATTTAGTAAATCATCTAATGAATTGAATACTGGTAAGACAAAAAGGAAACTGAGAGAGAGGGAAGGAGAGGAGAAATCTTAGAAAGTAGAGGAATGTAAGCAAAAGCAGGACTTTCCTTTGTCTGTAATTTGGGCTGCTAGGAAATCAACATGGTGAGAATTTGCTTCATTTTCTACGACAGTTGTAAGAAGAAATTCGGTCAGCCAGAACATTTCTCGTCATACGCCTGGCCACGTGTGATAGACACGGACATGATCAGGTGACCGGGGCCCTTGGGACTTACGTGGTGGTGTCCATATCACTTATGTAAAGTTTCATGTAAAGAATATGAAGATGAATCTACGTATGTCTATGCATGACTGGGACACGAAGCTGTACACCAGCGATTGACACACTGTAACTGACTGTACTTCAATTAAAAAATACATAATTAGCCTTAAAAATACAGGTGTAAGCTAAACTATAAGTAGCGTTTGACTTAGAGCACAGTAGAGTAGGACCCTACATATAATGTCATCGTATGCGTCTTATTTCATATTCCTAAGTCTAAGAGCTGTTGCATACATCAAGCAAGGTAATTACTAGTGGGAAATAAACGGATGGGCTAGAAAGCCCATCTCTTCTCTGCAAAGGGAATGGATGACTCTCAGGTCTTTCCCTGCCACTTTCGTGTGCCAGAAGTGTGTTTGAAGCTACGTACTGAAAATCTTACCTAATTTAGCATGCCCTAAAAGAACTGTATGACCCTGATCTGGAATTTATTCCTTCTCTTACACATACTAATTCAACTTAAGGACATCGCCTCCTACCTAGCCATCTGGCCTGAAGTCAGCTAGGGTTAAATTTGACCTGTGCAGTCTCCCACATCTTTTTTATTTCTCTTCCTCAATTTCTCTCTTCTGTCTCCTCCTGGTTTATACCATCAACGCCAACTGTGTTCAGTGTTTCCTGTCTCCTCCTGGTTTATACCATCAACGCCAACTGTGTTCAGTGTTTCTTTTGTATCATGTAAGTGTGACTTTGAACATGCTCATATAAACATCTTTGTATTTTATGTGTAGGTCAGTGCCTTTGGAAATACTGGCTACAGTGGAGGTCAGCAGATGTGGACAGAAATATATATGCGGTATCCATCCGTCGGTTCATGCCAGGTATAATACAAACTATTCCTTGAAGTAAACATCGTATATGCATCTCAGAAAGTTAGAGAAATAATTTCGGAGTGTGACATTAGCAGCTAAGGATTTATGCGTGTAGTGTAACACAAACTTAGCATTATAATGATTTTTTAGTATTGACTGGAAATCCTTGAGCTACAAGACAGAAGAGAGAAAAGGCTTCGTAGGAAAGTAAGAATCGATTTTTAATATACACCATTGTTATGCAGAAATGGTTCTAATGCGTATTGATTAGAAACCCTTTCAGGATAACTCTCTGTTAAAAGGCCTCTCTTCTGAATAGACGGTATCAGATTACTGTTCAGAGCGCAACGTTGATAATTAAGCTGATTTCCTTTGTGCTGAATGAGAATTAAAAAGCCAGGAACACAATATCCTTTTTAACACGTGCATGGATTTATCCTCTTCCTTGCAATGTGCTTTCAGATTCCCCAGCTTGTCCCTAACTTCCGCGATGTCCAATGGAGTGACACCTCTGTTAAGTGGTGTAGAAACGGACAAGCATCATGCTCATTATAAAAAAAGATATTCTATGTAAACAGTGCGATGCCAGCTGGAAGGTAAGGTTTGTTTTCTCTGCTGACGATCTGGTTTTGATGTCACTTCTCAAGTGTGGTTTTCATGAAGAATTACTGTAAGATACAATGACCTGACTTGGCTTCAGCCAGATCATTAAGCTACGCATAAACAATTCTACCCTGTTGGTTCAGTACACTCGACTCATTTGGCAACACAGGAAGGCCCTAGTACTGCTACAGATCATGCACATTTCATGAGCCACTGAGCAATGATGATGGAGCCAATTTTCCTCCCATGTTCCATCAATATTTGAGGGGAAACAGGCTTCTCAAACATTGCAGGAAACAAGAACCCCAGGAGCGCACTGGAGGCTCCGCTGAAAGATGGTGGGGAGAATTCTGGCCCAAACCACAATCTTGCAGCCTCTTTCGGAGAGGAGGAGGAACAGCCTTTATCTGAACGACACGCTGTCAGATGGTATCATTTTTCATAAAATCCTGGCTGAAATGAAGGTAGTTTGAAAGACCAATTCTGACTAATTAGATTTACTAAGTGGTGTGGTTGTAGCAGGCGAGGTCACGAGAAATGTGTCTCCAAAGAATCTCAATTTAGCATCTCTAGACATTTCATCACAAAATTGAAAGTATTAACATTTGCTTGTCTTTTGTTGAGAGTTAATCAAATAAATGACCATATTTATTATCTCTGCATGTAAAACTGCTATCTAAGGCATGAAGTTGGGAGATAACATTAGACCATTATGTTTTTTTCCCCCTAGAAAGAAGTTCTCCCTGGCCACTGATATATTTCCTTTTATCAGAGAATGAATCAATATAATCCTTTTTTTTTAAACCATTTGACCTTGGCTTCTAAAAAACCCAAGACAGAACTTTAATACTCCAGTCCCGTAAACAACTCAGAGACAGCTTAAGGTTTTAAAACACTTCTTTCCTCTGCTGTCTGACGTGGGTTCCTTTTTTGCCTAACGGTCTTTCTGAGTGTGTCTTTAGTTCTAAGAGTAGGCAAGGTAGAAGCCCTTCTTACTCTCCTTGAGGATGAAGGGGGCGATCTCTTTTTTATTCAAATCAGTATCAATATCAAAGGAAAGAGATTTGCTGGTAGAAAATTAGGTCACAGGAAGTTAAGGAACTAAACTTGTTCAGCTGTCAAACTGTACAAAATATGGTCTGAGAAAACTGCCTACATCATGGTGAAAGTAAAGAATGCTACTTTACTTTGCCTAACAAGATCTACTAAGTTTGCAGATTTTTAAGAAGGAAAAGACGATGGGTATATACACACACATATAGCCTTTGCCAGTAATGATCAGTCATGGCCAACAATTGCATAAACATACTGCAAACACTGCATTCTGAGGTTCACAGTGGACAAACACCATCCTGCAAAGCCTTTCCAAATTTCCCAGAAAGTGGGAGAGGAGGGAACAAATATACCTGGTGAATAACGCAGTTTGTCTGCCTGAGCTCATCTATAACTGAAAAGCACTGTGAATTCTACCTTAGGACCACAAAAGAATTTTCCCCTAGGTTGGATCGTCAGTGACAAGATTTAATAATCCAGTAGACAGAGACAAATTTGGTATCAGCCTCAACTGCCCTTAAATGTCAGGCTTGAATTTCAAGTCCTTGTCTAACAGAAGCTGGATGCTTGCAGTGTCTTAATATTTGCCAATGCGGAAATAGCCTAGGAAGTGTAGTCTATCAACACATGTTTAATTAGAACTTGAGTGATGCCAGGAATTACATGGAAAGGGAAAGCTATTGTGAATTACATGTGATAACCTCTCAAATAGTAAAATTATACTCCAGTGGGGAAAACAGCACTAGTCAAATGCCCCAGAATAATATACTTATCTTTGTACATCTAAGTCTAGCAACCTACCCATCCATCTATAATAGAAAAGAACAAATCTGACTCCATATTAGATCTGTTCCTTTGGCTTTAACCCTGTGCCCTGTCTTCTAGGCTGAGTCTTGCTGGCTCTGCACCTCTTGTAAAAACAAGGTTGCCTAGAGCCTGAAATAGACAGGAGAGCCTGTTCTCAAGGCCCTGACCTTGAAGGGTATTAACACTTTTGCACTCACATAACGATAACAAGTTGCAGAATAGAAAATAACATTTGTTTTGTTGGAATTTCACAGGGGCCTGAATTCTGACTTGGAGAAGACGAAAGACCTCAACCAGAGAAGAGGGCACACTAAAGTTCCTATTTCTTGCCCAAAAACCTTGTCTCCCAAATCACCTGCCTGGCGTGCAGCGAGCAGAACGTGCTTGGACACGGTAAGACATCCACCATCTATCTCCCTACCCATCCTTCTTTCTCTCCTTCCTTCCTCACCATCCAGCCACCCATCTGTCTATCTTTTAACCTACTTACCTATCCATTCCTCTGACCACCCACCTCTTTCTTTCTGCCTTCTTCACCATATACTCACCCACCCACCTATCTGTCTTCTTACCTCTCCATTCCTCTGGCCACCCACCCTTCCATCCATCTGTCTATGAATGCTTGTACCTACCCATCCATTCACCTACCTTTCTTCCCCTCTTCTTTCTTTCTCTGACCTGTATACTGACACGTGCATCCATCCACCTACATACTTATTAGGTATTTTGTCAGAATAACCAGGTTAACTTGTTTTTTTTTTGGTGTGAATAATAACATACCTGTGAAAAATATTCCCAAGAGGACACTTTAAAATTTTTGTATTGTACGATGGCGGTGTTGGAAAATGCTCCTCTCCAAGTGATTTCACTGCAGGAAAACAAACCACGAGGAACAAAACCCCACCTCCTGGAGACACAGAAAGTTGTGCTACTTTTTTCTGAGTGGCAACCCTCTCACCTCATCATCTGAACAACTTACCAGACTGTCACATGTGAGACCCTAAGTGCTACTGTCAGAGAACTGGGCCTGAGTTACGTTACCAATGTGCATGAAGTGCAGTAATTATTTTATGACAGCCAAGTGATATTGGTAACATGCCCTGCATAGTTCACCAAAGCCTGCGTGCAGAGCTCACGAAGGGGCGCTTCAGGTGTTAGGTTTGCCCAGAGATGTGAGCAGATGTCTAGAAGATGGCACGTTGAATGGGATGGTGGGACCACAGTGCTCGCTCACGGTTAAGTGACATCTGTTCACACCTGTTGAAAGTAACACCAAGGCTGGGCTCAGGTCAGACGTGGCATTAGAGGCATCAGTGACAGTCCTTGCGCTCTCAGATGCTCACCCAATGCAACATGTGGTGTACAGACCACAGCCCTGGCTACACCTGGTGTGTCTGCCTCGAACAGACTTTCTGCCTGCCAGCCAACCTTGTGCCTGAAAAACTATTTTTCAAAACCAAGTTCAGGAGTTACCACGTCTGTTACCTACCTGTGTTTACTCCTTGGCACAATGAATTACACCACCTTCTTTACCAATTCTGTTCTTTCCCCATTACCCACAGCTCAATATAACCATTTGTTTCCAGACAGGGAGTTTGATGAAGAGAGAAGCAAATTATAATAAAACAGGGCGAAAATGTAAATTCAAATCCTACCTTTGGTAAATAGTCCTTTTACCCAGTAGGACAGTTTGAAGGCACTGTACCAGTATTTGTGAATTATTTGTAAAAATATTACTCTAACTTGTAGAAGTTCTTACATTTGTGGCTGAAGCTATAATAATGTCTTTTTTTTTTCAAAGCATAACTGATTAGATCCTATATGACTTACATATATTCTATCCCCTCTCACGCTCTGGTACTTCTTTAGTTATCTGCCTAAGAAGACCCAAGCTAGTCAACACCATTGACCAGAAAGAATTAGGTTCTCCAGGGCTAACCCAGCAAAAGTGAAGCTTTAAAGCACATTAAATGTCCCCATGACATTCTGACAGGCAGGAAACAGTGACTAGTATCTTTTAAATATTTAGGAATACCCTTGGTATTTGAATTCATTCATTACCTTTTGTTTAATGAACATCCACATACTTTCTGTAACTCAAAGTGTCAGAGATAAATGGGCATTCCAGCATGCTACGAAAGAGCAGACACTTCCATTGATTTCATACGTAGCTTCTGTTGCCCTGACAACATTTATAAAATAAGTTATTTATCCTATTTCTATATGATTGTGTTGCCATGGTAACTTGCTGTTTTCCAGAAAGTCTGACATGGGTTTTATTTTATCTGCATACTTGCTTTCTCTACAGAGATAATCCATAGAAAGTAAGGCTTTAATAGATTAGCATACTAAGAGTAATGAAATATCTTGTAAACATTGGCTACAGTGTCAAGTATCTAAACAGGTATTCAGGAAGTAATGCAGTCAACACCTTTACAACTGAACTAGCACATTTTGGTTTACTGATGACGCAGCAGTGAAGAAATTCTACATACCAGTAAAGGACACACTGGAGGTGATGTACGATCGGAACTTTTCCTCTTCACAGCTGTGTCAATCTTACGTTCAGAACGATGTGGCTTCCGCTCTACAAATGTGATACACTAGTCCTTGCCTTAGCGCTACTTTTTAAAGGTCCATAGCAAAATAACAAACCCCATGCCGGCGATATGGACACATTGGCATTTCTAATCATTGTAGATTCACCACTTACTCTCGCTGCTGCTGTGTTCTACTTGAAAGAAGAACCTCACCTCCAAAACTATTTCCGTGGGTATAAAAAGAGGCTGCTCATGATGACATTGTCCCAGTGCAGCCAGATTTTAAGGTTTTGCCCATGATGGATTCATCCATGACACCACTGGACATTATGACCTTCTCATACACATCAGTGACATAACTTGGCCTTTCTACTTTATATTTTCCAAAGTAAACCCAAATTCTAGACAATAGTGTTGGGCCCACCAACTTAATGAAAAAAAAAAAGGGTAGGAAAGCGTGCTGGATTAGATAAACATTGTGACATTCAATAGACCACAATTTATCCTTCCAACCAAATCCTTCCCTTATTCGCCAGCACAAACATTTCACCTGATGT